CACTGAGTGGGACAAAACATRATGGCACGTGTCCACCATTGTAGTACCATACGGATGTTTYACCACTGAGCTACGTCTCCAGGCCTTTTTTTTCCTGAAGCAGGACCTCACTAAGTTGCCCAGGGTGGCCTTGTACTTGTGATCCTCCTCCCTCAAGCTTGTGAGTCTCTGGTATTCCAGGCGTGCACTACCAAGCCTGGCTGGGGACACTAACTTTTAACAGATAGACAGAAGAGGAATCCGGAAGAAGTTGGATAAGGAGAACCAGGAAAGAAGGGAGTTACAAGAGGGAGGAATGGTCAGCAGTGCCCAAAGCCCTACAGAATGGGGTGCTTGTACAGGACAGTTCCGTTTTCACAAGCACCTCTGTGTAGTTATTAACAGCTTCCTCTTTCACTCCCAGTTGGAGGGAGTCACTGAATTGTTTCCCATGGCATTTCTCCCTAGTGAAGTGGAGCATCATGATTGTCACTGGATTTTTCCACTGGAGACTCTCGMAGGAGTGGTTTAGAGCAGGTGGTGGGTGTATTATTAGTTCATGCCCCATTGCTGTAACAAAATGCCTGAGGTTAATTACTGTATAAAGAGGTTTATTTGGCTCACAATTTTGGAGATTGAAAGTCCAAGATTGGGTGTCCTCTGTTGAGGACATTGTGGACAGCATAACATCATGTCGGGGGCATATGTGAGATGAGAGATGCTACAGTGAGAAAGCAAGCCAGAAAGAGACTAGGGAGGGGCCAGGCATGAGCTTCTGTTGCAACTCTCTGAGGAGAACAAACAGGGTCCTAGGAGAACTACATCAATTCCTTCTGAGGGCAGTGCCTTCAGTGACTTAATTACTCCCCACTAGGACCCACCTTTTAAAGGTCCCACTGCCTCCCAACACTACAGCAGTGAGGACCAAGTTCCAACAGATGAATCTTTGGGGGGCATACCCAAACCCTATCCAGACCCTATCAGGAGGGAAGCCTGCCAATCACAGGTGGAAGTCGGGTGCGGGGGTGAGGCATGAGGAGCAGACACCCTGGGTTTCCTAGCATATCAGGTTTCACTATAGGAATGTCACTTTTCTCTGGCCCCTGAGCCTGGGCAGAGCTTGGAACCCCCTCTAGGCAGCCCCAGGCAGGAAGAGAAGGTGCAAGAGACAGATCCCTGGGTAGCGAGGGGTGGGCCCCGGGGGATGCAGGTACAGGTGCTGGAGGGGGTCTGCCCCTCTGTGGAACCCTGCTGTTTTGCAGGGGTCCCTTTTGACATCCACACTGTGTCCCCCCTCRCCCCGGCAGGGCACTCCGGGGTGACCCACATGACTTGCTCAGTTTCAGTCAGGTGGCTSTTGGTTTGTTTCACATACTAGACCTCTACCCAAGACTCCACTAGCAGACAGTGGCCCGGACTAAGGAGGTCTGGATCCCCAGCTCTGTGGGCTGAGGCCCCTGTGGTGGCCGAGACTCTGTCTCCCCACAAGGAAGACACACAGGATGCAGTCACAGCCAGAGGCTGCTCTCAGCCCAGCCGAGCTGCCGTCACTGGGGAGCTCCCCAGCTCCATCCTGGAACTTGAAGAGCAGAATCTCTGGGGGTGACCCCCGTGTTGGAACTTTTTGAAGCTCAGTGATTCCAACGTGCAGTCAGCAGTGAGAACCACTGGTGTGGAGTAGGGAGAGTGGCAGGGCCTCAGATCATGACGACCGGCAGCAGCAGGTACCTTCGGGCCGGAGGCTCCATCCCACCCAGGCTCCGCACGCCTTTTCCCACAGCCACRATGACGTGCCTCCAACTTCTTCCTGGCTCCCTCAACCCGCTCTCTGCTGCCTGGACCTCACAAATGGAGTTGCCAGATTGAATACAGGAACCCTGCGGAACTTGTCCTTTAGATAAACGGTGATTTCATYGTTTCAAGCATGCTCCCCACATCGCATGCTCAGACTTCTACTTAAAAGGATTGTGCATTACTTATTTGGAATTCACATTTCATTGGGCATCTGCACTTTTATTTTCTGAATCCAGCAGTTCCGCTCAGAGAGTATCTCCGTGGGTCCAATGATTCCGGTCACAATCCCTCGTGGGGGGRCCCCCAGCGTGGGGACATGGTTGGGTGGCTAAAGTGGCTAGAGGTGACTGCCATCATCTTGATAAGGMGATTTCTTAGATCCCGTGCTTCACAGCACCCTGATCTTTGTATTTATCACCCGTGGCCACGCTCACTTCCTCCTCATTGTCAGTGTCGTGTTTTCTTCCTGTTGACCAGGAGGCCCGGCCATCGTCTTCCCGTCCCCTGCCCTCTCCTCTCCTCTCCCGCCCCTTGTGAGCTTGGATTTCCCAGCTTAACCACGTTTAAAGTCCTGCCTCGCCAGGCTCAGTGGTGCACGGCTATACTCCCAGCAACTGGGGAGGTTGAGGCAGGAGGAYGGTGAGTTCAAAACCAGCAATGGCGAGGCCTTAAGCAGTGAGACGCTGTCTCTAAAWAAAATACAAAATAGGGCTGGGGATGTGGCTCAGTGGTTGAGTACCCTGAGTTCAATCCCTGATACAAAAAAAAAAAAAAAAAGATCATGCCTAATCTTGTTCTCTGAGGTTCCATGTGTTTGAAGGTGTTTACCAGAGAGACTTGGCGGTGGGGTGGTCTGTGGGAAGGGATGCTGGGACCTGAGGCATCTCCAAATGGTTGCAATTAGCCACCAGGGGGCGCAATGGAGCTGGAGACTAACAAGAGACAAARGCCTTTTGGGGGATCCTGGGGGTTAGAGTTGGGGTGCCCAATTGAGGTCCTGAGTGTTTGCCCCACCAGGCCCAAAGGCCAAGTCTGAGGAGGTCTCTGATCAACCTAAGAAGTCTGAGGATTYCCCGCAGGGGAAAGCTGGAAGTGACTAGGTAGCAGGCTGTGGACCGCATGAGGAGCTCCAGCAGTGCCTGGGGCGGGTGAGGTGGGGTGCTTCTGGTGGGACTGACAGGAGTGGCCCAGGGAGAAGAGGCCCCTCAGACAGAAAAAGGGCACCTGGTGGGTGGGAAGGGGTGTCTGAGTCTGTGCCAAGCAGGGTTGGCACCTTAGTCCCTCCCCAGGATCCTGGGTAAAGAAGGGGCACCCTCTGTGGTGGGTAGCAGGAGCTCTGGGCCCTAGGGAGCCTGGGGTGGGCAGGGGTGCTGATGGCAGGAGGGACAGGGGCAGCCCCCGCAGCCGCTGGCAGAGAAGGGAGGCAGGATGGGGTATGAGGGCAGAGAGAGGGGCCTGGATTCCAGAGGAAAGCTAGCCCCAGGTGCTGGCTGAGCAGGCAGAGCCAAGGTCAAGGGCTGTCAGAGAGTTTTGGAGTCAAGATGTGGGAGCGCAATCCCCTGATTATTTAAGTAGCTTTACCAGGATCTCCCTGTGCGGCCGCCATCCTGGTCCTAATGTGCGGGTGGGACTCCATCCTGGCATCACCCTGTGGCTCCTCTCCATGTGCTGGTGTCCTGGGTGGCACGGGGTGGGACACCTGTACATGTTGCCTGTTCTATTTAGGTTGTTTCCAGTTTGGAAGCTTTATGCAAAGTGCCTCTGGGAACCTTCCTGCTTTCAGGCTTCAGTCTGGCCCACAAAGGAGTGGGACTGGGCCTCGGTTTCCCTCTCTAGAAGATGGGGTTGACGCTCACCTGGCGGGGCTGCATGTGTTTTGCAGGAGCTGTTTACCCAGGGCCCAGCCCCAAGTGGTACTATAAATGGTAGCACAACCCACAAGCTGCCAGACCAGGAAGGACCCTTGGAGGCGGAGGCCAGCGGAGGGTGAATGCCGTGTCTACCTAGTGGGGTCAGAGTGGGGATTAGAGTTGGACCCTGGGGCTCAGCCCCATGCTCTTCCCCAACCCCAGGGCGCAGTTGGCTGCTGCTAATCCTCTGCATCCCCCACGCCAGTGCTGACGCTTGCCCTCAGCAGGGCCAACCTGAAGCAGMCGGGCCCTTCAGGCATCTCCTGCCTGGTGTAATGCGGAGGCGGGGTTGGGGGGATTAGAAACCTCTGAGAACATCACATGCTGCCCGGAGGACACCTGCTGCCACTGCCTTGCCACCAGGAGTCCTGGATTCTCCTGGTGCCTGTGCCTGGGGATGGGCCCCAGGTGACCAGCTCTGTGGAGGGGATGCTGGGGCCCCTGCCCAGTCTTGGTAAGTGGGCCTCCTGCCACCGTCTCTCAGCCATGGGCTTTTTAAGCGTCTTTGCAGGCAAAGGGAGAGATGGGTTCTGCTACAACTGCAAATCTGCTGGGTGTCATGGGAGGAAGGCAAGGTCCCACACGAGCATGTTCAGTGAGCTGGGGGTGGGGCAGGAGGCATCCTGTGCACCATCCATGCCTGCTCATCTCCTCTTGCCCCTCTGCAGCCCCTGTCTCCCTCTAACCAGCCACATTCCCCATTTCTTTGTGGGCTGGTCAAGTCTAAGGCCATCTGGGTAAATGTGGGGCCTCCCTAAGGGCCTGTTTTGATGAAGAGGTCTTCTTCCAGGACTGAGGGCTGAGGCCGCCTAAAAAACTCCTAGTATCACGATCTCACCCCCACRGACCAGCGGTCTCCATCTGGGCAGGTAAGACAAGCTTATCGAATCGCAGTGTGGGAGAAGGGGATGCCCACACAGCCCACGGTTGCAGAAGTGGTCCCAGGCGATCATGTGCCTCCCCACCCCCACTCCCTTGGCCAGCAATCTTGGGGACTCCTTTGAGCCCTGCCCATCCCTCCCATGGTCTCCTGAGGCTCAGATGCACCCGGAGGGCAGTGAGACCAGAGTCCAGAGGTTCGGAGGGACTGTGAGGAGTGCACTCTAGTTGCGAGAGGATGTAGAGAGAGAAATGTTTGCAGTTCCTGGAATCGGCTCCAGGGCCAGGCACCTGAGGAAGGAGCCGGTCATTTGTGGGGCTAGCTCCACCTGAGTCTAGCTACAAAAGAGGCCAGAGGCACAGACTCTCTGAGCTGCTCCTTGGAGATGAGGACCAGACCCCCAATCCTCGCTCTTTCCTGATAGACACCAGGAGACCCTTCTCAGCTGTGGTGGCCACTTCTGAAGCTGGGGCAATCCAGGGACATGCCAGCAGCCAGGATGTCCATGCAGCGCATCTGCCACCTGAAACCTGAGGCCCTGAGCATGCCACCTGGGGCCTCAGAGTCCCCAAGCTGCCAGCGGCGACACACACTCCCGGCGAGCGAGTTCCGCTGCCTCACGCTGGAGGACGCAGTCAGTGTGTTTGAGATTGAGCGCCAAGGTGAGCAGTCCAGTGTGGGGTCTGKGTGGGCATGCTAAGCTGCCCAGCTGTCTTCTCCCGCATCTCTGCCCTTGTGGGCTGCAGCCCAGAGGATCAGACTCTGTGTGTGTGCGCACTCCAGAGAGTGGGGGAAACACAGCCCTCAGTCGCCTGCTTTCCTGGGGTGCACAAGTGACCACTGGGGGTCAGTGGCGGACAGTGGGCAAGTGGTATAGTGAACGCCAAGTCACTCACCTGTGCCTCCTGCCGCAGCCTTTATCTCTGTCTCGGGCATCTGCCCCCTGTACCTGGAAGAGATCCGGCACTTCCTGACCCTGTGTCCAGAGCTGTCCCTCGGCTGGTTTGAAGAGGGCCGCCTTGTGGCCTTCATCATCGGCTCACTTTGGGAYGAGGAGAGACTCACTCAGGTGAGGATGGGACAAGCTATGATGCCCAGCTTCCAGAAGGTTCTGGAATAGAGGTTGGCCAGGGTGGGACTTTCTCCTTCCAGAACCAGAGAGGAGTATAAGCCACAGACCTCTCCGGAGGGAAGAGCACCCAGCCCAGCTCTTTGGGGCCCCAAAGGACCTCTGAATTGTCCTCCATGGGGCCTGGGGTGTAGCTCCCCACTTGGGGGCCTTYCTGGGTGGGAAGGAAACCCTGACCAGAGGCATTCAGGGGACACCTGCTCTTGGCCTGTGTTGGGTTGTTTGCGGGGAGCTGGCTGCAGAGGAGATGTGGACTCCTGGCCCCTGCTCACCCCCAGGAGTCRCTGAGGCTGCACAGGCCTGGGGGGCGTGTAGCCCACCTGCACGTGCTGGCCGTGCACCACACCTTCCGGCAGCAGGGCAAGGGCTCCATCCTGCTGTGGCGCTACCTGCACCACCTGGGCGGTCAACGGGCAGTGCGCAGGGCCGTGCTCATGTGCGAGGAGGCCCTGGTGCCCTTCTACGAGAAGTTTGGCTTCCGGGCCGTGGGCCCGTGCGCCATCACGGTGGGCTCCCTCACCTTCACGGAGCTGCAGTGCTCCCTGCGGGGCCAGGCCTTCCTGCGCAGGAACAGCGGCTACTGAGTGGGCTGCCCGCCTGGCTGCAGGAGAGGTGGGAGCAGGTTGGGGGCGCTCACTCAGTCCCCGGGTCCCCTTCTCTGCCTGGGGCCCATCCCAGGCTGACCGAGTATAAAGGGAGACTGTGATTCCCAAACTCAGCGTGCAGGGGAGAGGCCAGAGGAGCGGAGATGGATTCACCCTGGTCCCAGCTGCTCAGAGCAGGGAATGCTGTGTCCTCATGAGACCCTCCAGAACTTTTGCATTCCAAACCTGTGCCCAAGACTCAAGATGAGAGTGGGCTGGTAAATGAGAATGCTGGGAGGTGTTCTGGGGTCCCAGCCACATTTCCTGTCTCGGTGAGGCACCCTGATGCTTGGGGTCCTTATTCTCCCCAGCCTCGTGGATACCCCTCCTTGCCCTCCACCCCTGGAGTAGGGGTAGCTAGAAGTAAAGCCCACAGGGACCACGGCCCACCCAGTCCTTGGGCACCCTGTGCCCCAACTTCTTCCCCAGGCTTCTCTCCTCTCCTTAGCCACCCACCAGCCCCTGCACTGGCTCCTCTGCCCCTCGTAATAAAGCAATTATGTCCCCTGCCTCCCCGGTGGCTTTTTGGTGTGGTGTGCAGGCGGTGGCTGTGGCACAGGCACAGTGAATGGACCTGTCCCCTGCTTGGAGTGATGAACAAGTGTCTGGCCATCTCCCAGGGCTGCTTCTGCCAGAGCAAGCCACCCTCAGCACAGAAAGTCCCTCACTACCCTGGATCAGAGGCAGAGCAGGCTGGTGTGGGGACCCCTGGGGTCTCAGGATGCAATCCCGTCCTCACGGGGGGCCCCACCAAGGCCTTCTGTGTGACCCTAATCTGGATTTTGGTAACTAAATCCTGAGACGTCCCACGAGTGTCCCTTGGGTCAAGCCACTGCTCTGCACAGCTCATGGCTGATGCTCTCACCCCCAAGTCCCAGGTTTCATTCTCCCTGAGGTCTCAGTTAGGAAAATACTTCCATAAAGAGTTCCATTTAATACATTTGAGACATCATCCAAAGTTAGCGTTACTTTTTAAAATTAGGACCATAATAAAACTGGTAAAAAACAAAACAAAACAAACAAACAACAAAAAACAGGCCTGAGCAAGCCCAGGCGCCCCCACCCTCCCCGGGAGGAAGACTTTGTGGCGGCTCAGCCCCCACCAGGAGTGAGGCAGAGGCGCAGAGCCAACTGCAGGGCAGGATGCTGGAGTGGGGGTGGCGGAAGACAAGCCAAGGCTCCGGGCCCTCTCCTGGTGTCTGCTTCTGGTTCTCTGCCCCACCCAACAGACCCTCCCTCCCCGGGAGCCTATGCCAGGCTCAGTGGGCTCAGGGCACAGAGGGGAGGAGAAACAGGAAGGGGGGCTGTGGTGGGTCCCCAGCCCTGGGGACGACAGGGAGCAGCCTTGTGTCCAGGGAGGGCGCGCTCACACTGACTACGGGGAGAAGGCCCTGGGCCCCGGGAGAAGCATGTAGGTGGTCCCTACAGCAGGGAGGGGGAGGAGGCCAGGGCCCGAGCCTCAGAGAAACAGGTGTCCTGGGCGTCCCTAACCCCTGACCAAGAACACAGGCCTGAGAAATGAGGGTCTCCCTCCCGGGGAGCTCACCTTTGCCGAACGTCACAGAGTCACCTTGACAGGTGGAGTGGGCCCCGGGCCCAGTGACCCCAATGCTCCGCAGGCAGGGGCCCAGCCCCTTGTGACCCCAATGCTCCGCGGGCATAGCCCCTTGTTGTCAGTGCCCAGAGGGTGGCAGGTGCACAGGCCTGCTGGGCTGGGGTCAGTGCAGCACCTGGTCCAGCTCGTACTTCTCACAGAAGCGGCTGGTGAAGGGGAAGCAGGTGAGGTGCTCGATCCAGGGCCAGTTGATGGGGTAGATGTAGAGCCAGAGCACCAGGGAGGCGAAGAGGCCGGCGAAGACCAGCAGCGAGACCAGGATGAGCGCCCGCTTGCGGTACTTGTCGCTGGTGCCGAAGGTGATGTAGGGCAGGAAGGCAAAGGCCAGCAGCATGCCGCTGAGGAAGCCGAAGATGTGGGCGATGTTGTCGATCCAGGGCAGGAGGCCGCAGACGAACAGGAAGAGCACAATGGCCGACAGGTTGAGGAAGGCCTTCCAGGGCCGCTCCAGCAGCTGCCAGCTCTGGAAGAGCTCCACGAAGAGGCAGGCGAGGAGGCCGAACTGTGACCCAGCCGGACCCACCTGGGGCAGGGAGCAGGACAGTCACCCTGGTGCCAGGCAGGGAGCGCAGCCCTGGGACCCACCTCCCAGGCAGGGGCACGGCTGGAGCTGATGGGCCACTTTCACCTTTTAGCAAACACTGGGCGCTTACTGTGTTCCTGCCAGGTGTGGACCTGTGCAGTGAGCCCGACAAGCCTGCACACAGTGGGGAGGGACAGGCCATGGGGAGGTGACAGAAGAGTGAACAGTCAGGCCTGAGAGATCAAGAGGCTGCCAGGTCTGCAGGCCAAGAGCAGCCACCGTGGAGATCTCCAACGGCTCGGTCTGGGGGTCCTCCGAACACCAGCCAGCAGGAGGGTAGAAGGGAAATGAATCGGAGAAGAGGGAGCGGGTGGRGGACGGCAGCTCAGGAAGGCCTTTCTGGAGGCGACAGCTGAGCAGGGAGGGGCTGGGGTACCTGGTGACTCAAGGGTATCACAGTTCCCTCTCCTGGATTAAGGGACCGTCAATAAGCCCCCAGCTTAGCTGTCCATCTGCTGTTGAGCCTGGCACAGGAGGAACCCTGTGTCCCTCCAGCAGATCCCAGGTGGGTGGGGCAGAGAGCAGCAGGGCTGGCTGCCACATGCCACAGAGCTTTGGGCTCTAGAAAGGGACCTTATCCCACCCTCCCTGTCCTTGTCCTCCGAGCCCCCACCTCTGCCCGGTACGGGAGGAAGATGGCGCTGGCGAGGTTGCCCGTGATGCCGCTGAGGATGAAGATGATGGAGATGCGGTGCCAGCCAGCCAGCTTCTCCAGGTCCCGCAGGATGGTCATTTGGAAGATCACAGACACGAGGCAGTGCACCACCCTGGGGGCGGGGACACACCAGGCATCAGCATTCCACGTCGGCCACAGCTGCCTTACGCTTCAGGAGCAGTGGCTCCGACAGGCTGGGCTGGCTGTGCCCTGGCTCCCGAGCCCTTTCCCTGGGGGGCAGGCGGGTGGCCCTCACAGAGGTCGTGGTTGGGACGGGCAGGAACCTCTTACCCAGCGTGTAGGAACAGAGACAGCCAGAGCCTGTAGAACTGATCTGGGACCTCAGGGTTGAGGAAGGGCAGCAGCCCGCACACCTTGTCCAAGCAGTGCACCTGGGGTGGGGGCGCATGAGGGTCAGGCTGAGTCTGAGGCCCCCGTACAGGAAGGAGCACGTGAGCCCAGCCCTTGTTCCCAGTCCAGGGCCTCCCTGCAAGGCCTCACTCCACCTGGGAACAGAGTGTTGCCTCTTCRTGAAAATAGCCGTGCATGAACTCACAGTACTCGCGAGTAGTGATCTCACAGCTGTGGGGACAGGAAGAAAAGAGCAGGATATCAGGATATCTGGGGTTCCTGCAGGACCCCAGCGCTGGCCACAGCAGGCAGGGAGTGGGGACTCAGCCCTGGAGCATCTCCCCTTCCTCCAGGCAGGCGGCTCACCTGCCCTTGGTGCCGATGCAGCAGGGGCGGCCCTTGATCTGGCAGTCTATGTGCGGGAAGCCCGTGTGGTTGCTCCTGGCCTGCTCAGTGCAGATCTGCAAAGCAGGACCAACAGGGTGCGGGCTGAGCGACAGGCGCCCACCCCAGCCCTTCCCAGACCCCCTGCTGCCCAGCGATGCTCACTGGCCACAAGGTGATGTCATCAGGCCAGATGTGGGCACCACTGGAGGCTGGCTCCTCACAGGTCCTGGAAGCAGAGGCCAGATTGGGCAGGATGAGGGGCTGGGGAACCAGGCAGGTCCACTAACCAGCGTCCCAGCAGGAAGCTCAGACAGCCTAGCTGTGGGCCTCTCTGGACCTGTGGGTGGTTCCAGGCTGTACCTGGGGTCCTGGTGGCATACGGCTCCTGACGTCCGGTTCTGGTCCAGATCAGACTTGTCCATGGGGGGCCCAGTATCATCCTGCCACTTGACAAAAGTGGCCAAAGTCTCCTGGAGGGTGGAGATCTGGTCATGATGCTGCCAAGGTCACCCCATTGGTGTGCACAGGGAACCTTCCAGAACAGGGGCTTTTCCATTTCCCCAGGGCTCAGGCACACCTCCCAGACCCCACCCCTGCCAACCCTCCTGAGATCTGGCTTCGCCTCTCAGGCTGGGGTGCCTCTGTGCTGGCAGAGTGCTTGCGGGGTACAGGACTGGTGAGGGTGGAGGAGAGGAAGGATGGAATGCGGTCACTGCCCCAGGCCAGGGTGAGCAGAGTGGTACAGAACCACAGTGGGGCTGGCAGGGGTCAGAGGGCTGTCCCACCGAGCAGTCCTTCCTCTGGGTCTGGATGCAGCCCGAATGGTCGTTCTGGACACAGCAGCCCGAGTCCCGCTCCAGGTCTCGCTCCCGCAGCACCAGCTGCTCAATCTGCCGGTCCTTCCGGATGCAGGGCGAGAACTTGGCTCCCAGGTGAATCAGGTCAATCTGTAGGTGGAGAAGGGCGGCTGGTGACATGGGCCCCAGAAGAGGGGCCTGTCACTGCACCACCACCCCGTTCMGAGTCTCCCCTGATGAGGGGCCCACGAGGTGGGTGAGCACCTGGGGGTGGCAGGACACAGGGCTTCCTACTCAGATGGCCCCACCCCAGCCTGGACTCACCGAGCTGGGCCCGACCCAGAAGTTCTCCTGCTGGATGTATTTCACGCTCTCGTACACACCTTTGTTCCTCAGCACCTGTTGTAGAAGCGCAGGGTGGGGGGTCCTCAGAAGAGCAAGAGCCCTGGGCWGGCAGGAAGGGTGAGGAGTGGGACAGTGTCCCCAGGGTCCAGCCTCTGGGAAGGGGCCAAGCTCTGGTGAGCCTGAGCACCTCCTGCCTGGGCCGGCATCTTCTGGAAGGACAGATTTGGT